ATTGAATATAGCATGGACTGCTAAGAGAATAAACAGGTTCATCCTGGAGAGGGTGATACCAGGTTTCTCCTTGAAGGTAAGGATTCTGAAGCTTCATCTGACATATTTTGGACATGTTACAAGGAGGGACCAGTCCTTGGAGAGGGATGTCATGCTTGGGAGGGTGGAAGGACAGCACAAGAGAGGAAGACTCTCGATGAGATGGATGTGTCAGAGACAATGAGATTGGCACAGGATAGAGAAGAGTTTAGGGCTGTTGTACATAGGGTCCCTATGAGTCACAGGTGATTCAATGGCACATAACAACAACAATAGGGGGGAACCTCAAAAACCCTCCACCAAAAGATTAAAGATTAAAAATAACTAAAAGAATTTTTGTCACACATGTTACAGTCATATTCTTGCTTTCTAGTCAGTTCCAACTCATATTCCAGGGTAGCACTAACTCTGGAGGGCCTTCTGATCTCTTATCTTTATAGTCATAGTGTTCGATGCCTCAAATCTATTCAAAGATGGTTTTTAAGTTCAGTTGTGATACACTCAACATCCTATTTTGGCAATAATAAAGAAGACCAAAGAAGAATTGATTCCTCTGCATCGTGATGGTTAAAGAGTATTGAATATCCACAGACTGCCAATTGAATAAACAAATCTGTCTTGGAGGGAGTGTAACCTGAGTGTTCCTTAGAGGCACGGATGGTGGAAACTTTGCTTCTCGTACTCTAGGTATATCCTCATGAGGGACCAATCCTTGGAGAGATACACATACCACATGGTGGGATTTCTGGATCAAGTGGGCTTCTTATCCAGACTTTTTTCAGGAAGCATCAAAATACTGCGCATGGTTGTTGCACCGTTTTACATTTCTGCTCTTCTTTTTGTCGAGTGGGAGGAGGCTCATGGGAAAAGAGAAGTGGTTTAGTTCTAGTAAAGACTGCACACATGAGGTGTTGTTATTTATAAGTGCCATTGTGTCAAATACGACTCACAATGACCCTATGAAGAACAGATCACAACCCTGTTCTTTGCCGCTCCCTCCGTACCATCCCAGACACATCGAAGCTGCAGACATTATCCATCCATCCCGTCAAGGGAGGCGAGGATACGGAAATGAGTTATTTTTTATATTGGTCTTCATACAACTGTTCATATACATTGTTTTATAATATTAATTACAACTAGCCAAAGCCTTTTGTCAGCATGCCTCGGCAAACCCTCACTGCACCTTATCTAGTCCCTCAGCTCACTTCTCTTTCTACTAATTTCCGCGAATTTGGTTTCTTTTAAATGTGTTTCTCAAACTTTCCTGCCCCAATCCCTATGGGACAGGGAGAAAAGTGCAACAGTGAATGAATGGAAATCCAAAATCTCTGTAAACTTTCATTAAAATCAATTAAAAAAACCAAACAAAAAGCCAAAAATAAAACACAAACATTGTAGGTTAATTTTTTCCCCTTTCTTGTCCTGATCTTTCCCTTCTCATTCTAGATCTGCTGTATGGACTATCCTCCCTTGGGGAATCACAAACCACCCCCTGGGAACCAAAGTTTGCTTAGAAAGCAATTGCCAAGTCCACTGAGAACGCATGCCTTACAATTATCCTTGTGATCCTCTTGAAATGTCTTCATAAGTTTCCAGAGGAAGCATGTGGCCCCTTGAAGAAGACTACTTTAGCCACGTAGAGTAATTCTCAGCTCCCTACACTTCCCTTACTCTCTTGTAATTAACGTTGTAAAACAAATGTGTATTGGATGAAATAGCAACGCGTGTGTAAACTTTCACTGAAAGAAAAAGAAATGAATTTTTAAAAAAATTATTCCAGCAAGTAGGAAGAAAGGCAGTATAAGATGGTCTATTTTATGCTGGTAGCTCCTGATATATACTATTTCAGACCTTCCACCTGACTTGACCCTTACAATACTTTAGTGAAGGTTCTCAGAGAGTACTGGCTTTAATGTGTTCATGCACACTTTGCTTCATCTTCCTCAGTCCCCTCTGCAATGCTTGTCCTGTTCCAGATTACTGCCATGCACGTGCTTTGTAAACATCCATTGCTCTCAGATTGTCCTTCCTCCCACCCATTCCCATGCAGTGTATATTTTCTTTTCTTTTCTTGCTCTTCTCTGACCTCCTCCCATCGCGATACTATTCTTACAACAATGGGCTTATCCAATATTTGTCCCTTTGTTACTGAAATATTTCATGAATATAATGTCTTCCAGATTCACCCATATTGTATTAGCATTTTATGAGTTCACTGTTTTTTTTCCACTGCTGTGTAATATTCCTTTCATACCAAGGTTTATTCACTCAATTGTTGATAGTACTTGGGCTTTCTCCATCTCCTTGCTGTTGTGAATAATGCTGCAATAAACATAAGTGTGTCTGTATCTGTTTAAGTCAGAGCTCTGGTTTCTTTGGAGGATATTTTCCATCTTAAAGTATTTTTATATGGATCATTCAGCCAAGTTGATCTTTAGGTGTTTAATAATAGACCTGATCTCAAACCTTGCTATTGAATCTTTCATCAAATATTTGATTTCAGAATCACAACTTAAGCAACATAGTGATTTTACTATCTTCTCACGTTGTTGCAGATATTTTAAATTTCACTCCTTAACTGCATTGTTTCAGCTGTCGAATCACCTCTGTGGAATTTGGCTTTAGCCACTGACTTGCATTAATGGGCCCTAAGACAGTAGCAATGAAGATCTAGTGGCCTACAGGGTAAGGAGCTGTGCTGCCAATCCAGAGGCATGCAGTTCAAATCGACCAGTTGCTCCACAGAAGAAAGGTGGACAATCTCCTCTCGTGTGATCTACCACCTCTGAAAACCCACCAGAGGGTCAGCAATGAGTCAGTTCCAACTCAATGGCACATAATCACAGCACGGCAATAGCTATAAAGCCAGGTTTGCAAGGCTGCAAAGCGGTGACTACATTCCCAGAAGCCGTTCTTGGGTCTCGCTTAATGCAGGAGCATGTGACTGGCTACTATTTTACAAAATCCCTGCATCTTGTTTCAGTCCTTGTGAGGATCCAGGACAATCAAATTGTGGCCCACTTTCCACATCAACCAATAACATCGAGAGAGAGAGAGAGAGATCGATCGATCAGCTGGCCCAGTGATGAGAAAACGATGTGACCAAGACCAAAGTGGGTGACTTTTAATCCGCGGCCCTCAGGCCAGTCTTTCATTGTTTTTGTTCAGACATTCCTCTAGGTCGTATAGCGCTGGTATACAAGTTGCTGTCCTGCGGTCACTTGCGGTTGCTGTGAGGCTGAACCCTGGGACACAGATGTGTCAAATGCGTTAATGGTTGTTTACCCAATGTGGACAGAGAGTGGGGTGGAGCTCCCCAATTAAAACAAGCGGGGGAAGGAGGAGTGGCATCCACTTCCATAACAGCTTGCCTCCAGAAACCCTATGAACCAGGAGAGAGGATGAAAGACACCCAAGCGTCAAGGACTCTCCTTCATAGGGTCGCTATGAGTTGCCTTCGACAGCACTTAACAACAACAACAACAACTTCCACAACAACATGAGCTGTGTGAGGACGCAGGACAATCAAATAGTGGCATCGACATGAGGCAATAAAATATGCACGTATGTGGGCTGTTACTCCTGGTGCTTGTAACTGATATTCCAACACCCATGACCATTTTTATAAGTTTGTGTGTTGATTTTATGAACTATCTCAGTTCCATTGATGGCACAAGGAAGGATATAAAAAAGTAAACAAACTAGACATACACAAATTTTCAATCTTGTAGCCATAACAAGGATTCTATTCATGATCCCCCACTACTTCCCTATTCCTACATTTGAGGGTGGAGAAAAGCGAGAACTTGAAGCAACTCTGAGATGAAAATCTAGTTTTGACTGTGCTTTGAACTTCATATATGTGCAAATACAGTCTCTCTTCAGTAAACAAAGGCAAAAGGACTTCACATTGGATAACATCGGCTGATCTGACAATTTCCTGTCTCCTTGTTTTTGGTTGCCCATTTTGCTTACAAAAGTTGGGAAGCCTGATACTCTATTACCAGGTATGTTGCTGTTGTTGTTAGGTGCCATGGAATCAACAACACATAAAGACCCTAAGAACAACAGATCTGAGCCTTGCCCAACCCTATGTAATTCTCACGACCTCCAATATGGCAAATTTTCCAGATATGTTGATGTTATTGAGTACCGTGGAGTCGGAACCAACTCAGAATGCCCAGTTAAACTAGAATTTCCGCTAAATAGATTTTTTAAATGTAGACATGCACTAATTATTGTGTAGGGCATGTTTGTATAATGATTATTCATTGTTTACCTGAAATCTGACTGAATTACAAACAAACAGACTCAATGCCGGTGAGTCAGAAACACCTGACAGCTGGGTGGGTTTCTAAGACTGGGAATCTCATGGGAGGCGACTGTCCCATCCTTCGGTTGAAGCAGCACAACTCCCTACAGATGAGGCCACTGGCACTTAAATTTAATTACCTTGCCGCACAGTGAGCTCTGGTGGCATCCCAAAGGCATGCGCTTTGAATCCCTACAGTGAGGTATGGGGAGAAGAAGGCGTGAACGCTAACCTTAGGAAGACTCTCTGCTCTGGTATCCTGCTACGTGTGCATAAGAAATTGAGGCGGGGCCGTCTGTGCTTCTCAACTTTAGTATTCCCATTACTTCCACGAAGTAAGGAGAGGTGCTACAACAAAAAGCACAGGACAGGATACATGCCTCAGATGACTCAGAGGTCAGATGAACCCAAGGGCACCTTGTGTGCTGCAGACAATCGGCAGACAGCCAACAGCAGGGAATTGGCAATGGAGATTTATTTAAACATGAAGTCAGCAGGAAATAGTACAGCAACCCTCATAACTGGTGTCTCAGGACAGGAGACGAGACTGGGGAGGTAAAGCCTCCCACCACTCAGGATGCTCTACGTTATCTCCTCCTGGAGGGCTTGGCTTCGGCTTCCGGCTCCGCACTGGGTCCTTAGAAGATTAGGAAGTGATCTCCTTCAGACCTAAGGGAGGAAACCACAAAGGCTGTTAGAGACCTGTGGGGTCAGAGGTAAGAGATGTGACTTGGCTGCAGGCCCAGTGATGGCTCTGGGGCACTTGTCACGTACCTGACCTCTGGAGCTCTAGTCACCTGTCTCGTAAAATGAGATTTTATGAAATATTGTCTTGAATAAGACTTTGCTCATGACTAGTTTTAAAGGGACAAAGGAAGTATGACAGTTGACAGGCTTCTTACTGTTAATGCAAAAGTCTACCCTCTGTACCTTCTGTATTTGCGCAAAGTGCTGAACTTTAAGCAAACAGAGAAGTCCCTTCTCTAGCACACACAGGCACTGGCATCAGAACACAGGTGGGAGGGCAAGAGCTTCTGCCACAAAAATGCTCAATATATTGTTGCTTACTAAAAACGAGAATAAATAGAAGAGAATTAGAAGCCATTAGCATTTCCAAAAGTTTAGGAAAGTGTAACTAAATTAATTTTTAAAGTTATTTATGAATGCTTACGTAAATTCTACCATAGCTACATGATAGAGTTTAGTCAAGCCATTCAACACTATACTTATTGAGCATTTTTTAAATTTAATTTAGTTTGTTTATTTTTATTGAGCATTTTTAACAGCAAAGGAAAATACTTCTGATATGAGGTTAAACAAATACAAAATCAAAGTCATATAAACATATAATTTCAACTCTTGGTAAAAACAAAACAGAAGAATAGGAGTTGAAGGAAAAGACTGATCAGAGGCTCTCACTGTGTGAAGGGCACACAGGTGGGTTTTTTTGACTTCACTAAACTTTTCACTAAATAGTATATATTGTTTTAATAACAGGGGAATATCAATGTCATAGAAAAAACATATTAGTAAATCATTTTAAGGGGAGAACAAATTTTAAATGGTCTTGCGTGAAGAACTGCAGAGCTGGGCCAGGCTGCAAACTGGCTCAATGACAAGGCGCTCTGGTGGCCCTGTCTGGGCAGAGCTGTGCTGTTCACCCAGGGGTGGTACAAGCCTACAAGGACGCATGCACATCTGGAGTTTGCCCATAAGGCAGAGACAGTCTTCTGGGTCATGTCCTTTGTTCTGTATCGGCTACTTGGGCAGGATCTAATGTCATTTGGACTAATCTATAGGAGGCTTGAAGGGCAGCAACTAGTAATTAAAGACCAGGGCTGGGATCAAAAGCACCCATCTCCTTGGCTGGGAAGGCCTTTCAAACACTGGGGAATCAAGGACACAGGCTAGTTGTGAAAGAGGAGCTGGTTCGGCTCAAGACAAATATAATAACAAACAGCGAGATGAGGATCTAGGCGCTCGCCCTACCCCTCAGTCTGCCACGGCCCAGAAAATGTACCTTAACTGCACTAGATAAGAGGACAAAACTGAACAAATAGGTCTGGTAGAGACATCAAGATATCTGCGTTTAACATTGAGTAAGCCTGGCTAAAGCTGATTAAAAAGACAAATACTGGCTACTTCTAAGATTACTTTAACCTCTCCAGATCTTTCACACCTTCCCAATGAAGAAATTGTCACAATGTTGTTTTGCTTTTTGGTACAATGGTTCTCTAAATCATTCTTCTGGTTCTGTGCTATGAAACCACAGAATATTAGTAACAACGAATTCTCTGAATCAGTTCACGAAGACACGAATAATTCTTTCTGGGTCTAAAGTTCCAGTGTAACATTCTTTGGAGAAGAATGCTTCTGCTTCTCAGGCCACGTCAACAACGATGGACCACACACCTAGGTCACTGCCTCCTTTGGTGGCCCAGCAAAGGCAGTAATGCTGCATGAGCTGCTCGAGAAGCTCCATTTCATCCAGGAATTCAAGTGACTCTATCCTGTAGAGAGAACGGAGAGAGAACAATGCCCAGCTGCACATGTACATCATGAAAAAGGAAGAGGAAGACCCATCACCATTGATACGGACGGACAGACAGTCAGGACACAGCAAGTGAAAATGAACAATGTAACACAAGTCTCTATGGTATGCTTCTAGCCTGTCCCCCAGGCTCCTAGCTAATATTTCAAGTTGCTGTTCTCAAGTGAAGGGCAGAGGTTGTTAGGTGTCCTCAAGTGGAATATGCTGCATAGGGACCCGATGACTAATGGACATGAACCCTGTGCAATCCTTCGTCATCTCTGTCATCTCTGATACAAGGAAAGGTATTCTCTACTAATTAGGCTCAGCTATGCGTTAGCTTGGTCATTCACTGTTGTCAAGTTGATTCTGACGCACAGTGACCCTCACTAGGTTTCGTATAGAGGATTATGCCTTTGAATTGTGCTGCCAAAGAGTACTGCATAAATATGTCTGGAAGACAGAATATATTCCATTTGGGAACTATGGTGAGTGTAACAAAAGTAGACAACTTCCTTTATACTTTATGTACTGCTATACTGGTTGTTGTTGGTTTTTTTGTTTTTTAACAATGAGCATGTTTTTCTTTTACGAGAGGGACTTCCATTTAACTTCCCAAACTTTGTAAGTAAACCAGTATAAAATACAATTTTTTAAAAAAAAAATAAGCAAATAATTATAAATACAATAACACCAAAAGATATCTGAATTACATTCAGATGCTAATTTAATGGATTTAAGCTTTGTAAGCCATCTTGAGTAATTTCTAGTTTTCTGGCAATTCCAATTGCTTCTTAAGTCTCATAAATCTTCGATCCCGGGTTTTGGCACCAAAAAAAAAGTCTCATAAATCTGCTTTTTTTCAATTGCTTATATAGTTATGGAAATATTATCAAACTTATTTTTTAAATGATTATTCTTAATCTTTTCCCATCCATACTGTTGTTGTTGTTGTTGTTATGTGCCGTCAAGTCGCTTGTGACTCACACCGACCCTATGTAAACAGCCCTAAACTCTGCTATGTCCATGAGTTTCATTATATCAATGAGAGGTAACACAATAACTTTTATAATTCCAATCACAATGTAAATTCTGTTAGTATCTGAGGGCACTGAGTTGCTCCCCTAACCACTGTACACTTTGCTGCAGTTCTGCTATTTTTTTAAATTTCTTCACCGCCATTGTGGATCTGGAATCCGAAAGGCTGATCCATTTTCTGGTAAAATAAAGGCTTAACGTTTTAAAAAAAATCTGCCAACAGATCTTTTCTCCTCTGAGAGGACTTTGTGCAGAGTTACGTTCCTTCTTCTCGAAAACACACGGATTGTACAAAATTTCCAGAGCAGAAGTGTCTCTGGGAACCTTCTACCCGGTCTGGCATAAATTCTATCTCTACTCACAGATATTGTATTTTTCTCAAATGGTTATCAACATTTAATCTGTATTCGCAGGTTAACTTGTTTGAAAATCAGACTCGAGAGAGTGTGGTGTTGTCTTAACGCTGTGTGATTAAGTCTAATGAGCTCTCATGGAGCTACTGCTGGCCCGTCCCATACCTGCTCACTTCTGATCGTGGCAGTCTGCTGTACAGCGTCATCATGTCGACCGCTGAGGCTGTTTCCCATCCACTGGATAAGAGCCGTTCTTTCTGGTCAGTGAACAGAAGCAAAGAACCGTAAGGTGAGGCTGTAAGAATCCAAGACACTCTTAAAGTGTAAGCGACTTCAGCTTAGATGATTTCTCCTTCAAGAACCCATTCTGACCCTTATTTCTTTCCTCATTTTCCAGTTACATACACTAAAGCCCAATAATGTATATATTTTTTATTTTATTTTATTATTTTTACGTGTACTGTCAAATCAGATCTGACAGGTACAGGAGGAGATTGCCCCCTCCTTTTCCAGCAGAGCATCTGGTGGCTTTGAACCGTGTACCTCTGGGATTGTAGTGCAGCGTCTTGCCACTAGGCCACCAGAGCTCCTCCAATAATGTATCTTTTAAAGAGAAACAAAAGGAGATGCTTCTCTATGAGTAGTAGGATAGAAGGAGAATTGATGCCTTTGAGCTGTGATGCTGGAGAAGAGTACTGAATGTACATGGACTGCCAAGAAAACAAACAGGTTCATCCTGGAGAGGGTTAAACAGGGCTGCTCCTTGGAGGCAAGGATTCTGGGGCTTTGTTTGACATATTTTGGACATGTTGTAAGGAAGGACCAGTCCTTGGAGAGAGACATCATGCTTGGGAGGGAGGAGGGGCAGCACAGGAGGGGAAGACCCTCTATGAGGTGGACTTATTCAGTGACTGGGGTAATCGGGATGGGTCAGTTGGAGGCAGTGTGATTGGCACAGGATAGAACAGGGTTTAGGTCTGTTGTATATAGGGTCGCTATGAGTCTCAAGCAACTCAATGGCACATAACAACAACAACAATTAAAATTATTTCTATATTAAAGTGTTTTGGAATTGTAACAAGTGTTTGACTCAATTTAAAATGTATTAATAGACATAGTTCTACATTGTAAATGCGGTATTTCATGTACACACACATAAGTACATAAGTAACATTTAAAAAATGTTCAGTAGTCATGTGACATGACACCTGTTAAAAACTAAATGGAGTGAGAACTAAGAAGTGTCTTTTTAGCAAAGAAATGGCATTTTAAAAGTTAAGGGAGGCCACTATGGATGAAGAGAGACTTAAGGGGTCTATCAATCAAGTACAAAGTGTTGAACATGTTTGGATTCTGATTTAACCACACAAACTATTACCATATTTTTAAAGACAAGTGGGAAAACGGAAAACAAAGATGGCCAATCTCTTCCCATCAGACTTAGAGCCTTGGAAACCCAACAGACAGAGGGACAGCTGGGGATGGTCTGTACTCAAAGGCAGCGAGTGAATGAGGACGTGAGCGAGTGAGGAAGGAATCACCCACAGAACGCTCCGTGCCTGTGTGGGAAGGGACTCAGGAGAACGCCCCCATTACCTGGGAAGGAAAATGGCCATGGGGTCGCTTTGAGTTGTGCTTGACTCGAAGGCAATCAACAACAACAACAACAGCAGCACGTCCCAGTCTCTGCTGGCATACCTGTGACTCTAAAGACTTGCACATCTCCACGCCAGCCAGGTCGCACTGTCTCCTCCGCAGGTTTTCGATCATGATCTGCCCGAACCTGTCTTCCATGTTGACCTGGGAAGGGAAAGAGGAGTCTGGGCATTGCTGCAAGGAACCTTTCATTTCTTAAGTATCCAAAATAAAACAACTTTCCATTTTCAACCCGTCAAGGCTGACATTTCAAAGTACACCATGCGGACAGAGCAATGAGGAGCAGTTATTTATACACGGTATGAATGGGAGCAGACATCAAGACAGCACTGCGGAGGGCAAGTGGGCAGCTTATTTCTGTTTTAAATGCTCAACTTGTGATCCAACCATTCCACTAAGTGGATTTATTCTACAGATGCACTCATGCGTCTGTAAAGATACAAGAATGTTTACTTCAACATCATTTATAAGCAAGAATAGAAAAAGAACATAAATATCCATTGTTTGAGGTGAAAGAAATTTTGGTGTGTTCAGACAATCATACGCTACGTAACTGTAAAAGCAAAAAAGGACAGCCATATAGGATGAATATGAAATAATCTGTAATATAAATTCATGAAAAGTAGATACAGAAGGGTGTACAGAGCACACTTCTACCTGCCTTTAAGAGAATAAAAACTTTCTCTCTGTGTTTATACAGGCATAGACACAATCTGGAGCAGGGCACCTTGACTTCGCTGCTCAGGGGACTGCAGTCTTGGAACAGAGAGAGATTTCTCCTGTTTATTCCTTTTGTTCAACTTGACTGTTTTTATTCTAAGTGTGCTATTACTTTTTGAATTTCAAACTGGATAAACAGGATTAATATTAATATATTTGAAAAGATGTCATCAAATATATTACTGTATGGTTGAATTTGTAGGGAGCTGGACTGAGATACCAAAGGCCAGACCTCTCTAGAGGTTCGAATCCACCAGTGGCTCTGAGGGAGAAAGACAGCCGTCTCCTCTCCTGTGATGTACAGCCGTGGAAATTGAACAGAGCTAGCTATGAGGTGGTTTAGACGCCACAGGCACGAGTGTGAGCATGACAGCATTTACACTATTTGTCACACACTCAAAACTAATTCATCACTTCAACAATATATGAAAGGATTCCCAGTGTTTATACACCTCTACCACTGTCTCTTTCTGTGGGTGAGTAGTAAGGCTTATGATTAATTTTCAAATTATACACTGTCTGTTGAACGTAGAAAGATATTTGTCAGCACATACCTTATAAGTTTATTACCTGGGCTTAAAAGCTGCCTCAACACTCAGTAACCGTGAGGCCATGAACATACCTCCTTGTGCTTCAGTTCCCGTATTTATAAAATTGGTATTAGTATTAGTACCTACTTCTTTATTGTGTGGTTATTAGTAACTTAATACATGTAAGACTCATGGTGTCTGGAGCATAGTAAGCAGACTTAAGAATGTGCTATCATGATTTTATCATCACTGCTAAGATTATCATCCACAAGGATTTAGTAATTTTTTTAAATTTTTTTAAAATTTTTGTTATTTTTGTGTGAGTGTACCATCAAATCAGATCTGACTGGTACAGGAGGAGACTGCCCCTCCTTCCCCGGCAGAGTATCTGGTGGATTTGAACCATGCGCCTCTGGGATTGTAGTTGCAGCTCCTTGCCACTAGGCCACCAGAGCTCCCCTAGGATTTAGTAATTTTAAATGACTAATGACTCTGTGCTGGAGAAGAGTATTGAGAGTACCATGGACTGCTGGGAAAACAAACAGATTCATCCTGGAAAGGGTTAAACCGGATGGCTCCTTGGAGGCAAGGATTCTGAGGCTCCGTCTAACGTACTTTGGACATGTTGTAAGGAGGGACAGGTCCTTGGAGAGGGACATCATGCTTGGGAGGGTGGAGGGACGGCGCAGGAGAGGAAGACCCTCTATGAGGTGGATTGATTCAGTGACTGGGATAATCGGGATGGGTGTGTCAGAGACAGTGCGATTGGCACAGGACAGAGCAGAGTTTAGGGCTGTTGTACATAGGGTCGCTATGAGTCGCAAGAGACTCGACGGCACATAACAACAACAAAGACTCTGGTGGCCTAGTGGCAAGAAGCTGCACTGCAATCCCGAAGGCAGGCTGTTCAAATCCACCAGCCACTCCACAGGAGAAGGATGGGCAATCTCCTCCCGTGCAATTAACTACCTCTGAAAACCTGCTGGTGGGTCAACTATAGGTCAGTTCTGACTCGACGGTACACAACAACAACAATTAAGATATAATTTAAGGCATGTGAGCAATTAATATTATACTATATGCAATATAGTATATATAATATACTGTAAGGATATTGATAATTTTGTATTTGTCCGAAAATTACTAAATGCTTGTTCTTTCAAAGGTGATGATGGTGAACTGGAGTTGAGCCATTTTAGTGAAAACTGTGGACAACATAATGAAACCTGGGCTGTTCTCAGGCCTGCTCCTACGTGACAAGGTGTCTGATTAAAAACCCTTGAATACAATATTGAATAAACGAAAGAAAAGCCAGCCGAATAGAAGAATGCCCAAGCTAAGCAAAAGGAGTGAAGCCAGCAATTTCCCAATCTTCTCTAAAAGCCTGTAGAAGTCAAGAAACAACATGAAGTAGGACTTTTGGAACTGAAGGATCCAAGAGAAAGGAGGACCAGGTAACTGAGGCTGCAAAGGTAGGGACAGAGCAGGGACCTAAGCAGAATTCAAACGTCTGCTCCTCTTACCTGCTCATAGTTTATGAACATGGCCGTCTCAAAACAGCTGGCCGCCCACTTTAACAGGTTTGCGGACTGCTCAGGCGTCATGTAAATCAGCACACATTCAGCTATAAGGAGTGTCGGCAATCTGAAAGGAAGAGAAGAAGGCACATAAAACATGTTGGCATCAACTTGAGTGTCTTTAATTCTGCACCTGTTACAGTTCTGACAAAGCAAGATCTATGCCAGGAAGACCAGAACCGGGCAAGCACATCACCAATCAGGGCAGTAACATGCATGTGAGAGCAGCATGAGTCAATGTTTTGAGCTATACAAAAAGGTGAGTAACAAGCAGTGACCTCTTTGACTCATGAAATCTTTATACGGGTGGGACAGATTATAAAGAGGTGTGACTACAAATTCTTCCCTGCCCTGTATGCACCGTGGCAACGTGATACTGAAGAGTCTCACATTCAGGATAAAAAAACCCAAACTTATTGCTGTCAAGTTGATTTTGACTCACAGAGACCCTTTACTGGTCTTCTGAGGCTAAATCCTTATGGAATGAGACTGGCTGTATTTCTCCTTTGCGGTAGCTGGCAGACACAAACTGTAGATCTTTTGATTAGCTGCCTACACATAACACACTGTGACATCATAGTCTTTATTCCTCTAGAATCAAGGTTAATAAAGTGACTAGTCTTAACAAAAGGGGGAGTAACAAATACGGCACAAGTGAGGACATGAACAATCTTTACTTGAGCTGCTTCTGGAACCCTGAGATCACTACGTGATGGAACCCAAGTCAGTTCACTACAGGAGTAGAGGTCCACTGAAGGAGAATAAACTTCCCAGGAGACAGTCAGTTACCAGCTCAACTGACCACTGTCCGCATGACTGAGCTCTAGGCGACATCAGGAGAACCTTGCTCCCGGCAGAGGAACCACCCAGCTAACCCCAATGCACAGAATTGCCAGCCCACAGAATTCTGATCAGTTAAGCACAGAATCACCAAGAAGGAGTGGTTTGTGCAGAAAAAGGGGGTACTGTATGATTTAAAATCAGAAAAGGTGTGCACCAGGGTTTTGTATCCCTTAACCAGATCTATTCAACCCGTATGCTGAGCAAATAACTGTGAAGCTAGACTAGATGAAGAAGAAAGTGGCATCAGCAGTGGAAGAAAACTTGTCAAGAAACTGCAGCATGCAGGTGACATAACCAAGCTCACCAAAATCGAAGAGGACTCGAGGCACTTGCTGAAGAAGATGAAAGATGACAGTCTTCCCTATAGATTATACCTCAACATAAAATATTTAATTCCTCGCAGCTGGACTAAGAAGCAACATCATGATAAATGCAGAAAAGTCTGAAGTGGTCAGAATTTAATTTTGCAAAGATCCACAATCAATGCCCACTGAAGCAGCAGTCAGGAAATCTAACAATAGAGCGCACTCGGCAAATGTGCTGGCCAGGACCTCCTTAAAGCACTAAAGAACAAGGATGTCACTTTCAGGATTAAAGTGTGCCTCCTCCAAGCCATGGTATTTGCACTTGATTAATACGCAACTGAAAGTTGGATAGTGAACAGAAGAAGACCAAAGAAAAACTGATGCCTTTGAACTGGGGTGAAGAGTACTGACTATACCGTGGGCTGCCAAAAGGACAAACAAATCTCTGTTAGAAGAAGAGCAGCCAGAGTGCTCTTAAAAGCAAAGATATCGAATCTCTGTCTCACAGACTTTGGGCATATTATCAGGAGTGAAGGAGAGGAAGACCTTAAAGGAGATGGAATTATACAGTAACTGCCAAGAGCCTTAGGCACAGCCTACTACAAAGGATGGTGCAGGCCTGGGAAGGCTTCATTCTATTGTTGATCTGGCCATTAGGCATCAGTGTCAAACTGAAGGCATCTAACAATAACAACAACTATATTTAGACCAAGAACCTGCTGTCTGAACAGAGTGAGGAGGGAACACTGCATGGTTTAAAATTAAAAAGGGTGTGTGCCAGGGCTCTATCCTTCCTCCATACATATCTGTACACCGAGCAAGTCATTAGAGAAACTGGACTCTATGAAGAAGAGTGTGACACCAGGATCGGTATTTTAAAAAGAGCAACCCAGGTACTTCTTCTGTGAAACCAGACTTAGGAAACACTGCTTCCCAAAAATTTCAGAAAATTTCTCTAAGAAGCTGTGAGATGATTAAAAACAGCAGAGTAAAAGGTCGAATTTGGGGGTCTTGCCGCACTTCTAATGTCATGAGATGAAAACAGGTGGAGGTATTTTTCCTAAAAATAAAAGAAAAAAATCTCACTGTGTATTTATGTGGCATTTTTTTAGTTTCTCTTCTAAGTCTGGTAAATCTCGCAGGTCTGCTCCAATAATGGCGTATCTCTTTGAATCCAACAGGTTTCCATCTGCAGATGAAAGAAGATGAAAAGAGTATTAACTTCGTTCTTTTTTCTCACTATAAAAATATGCTTATAAAAAAGTTTCTATAAAAATATGCTTATTTAAAAATCTGATAAAGAAGATGAAGCCAAACAGCATCTTTCCTACAGATAACTATCAGCATTTTGGTGTGTAACATTCCAGCCTTTCCCCCTAAGTGCTTAAACTTGTATATAAAGTACATAGACATTTCTGACACATATGGTTCCCGAGTAACCAGTACTCAAGGGATTAGAATCTAACAGTGATATGTTAACCACTTCAGGCAGTAGCTTGTGATCACGAACCACTGGTACTGGTGCCACTGGCTCTGGTGCAGGACCCTAACTGGGTGTGTCAACAGCCTCAATGTTACAGAGCTTCATTCATGTTACAGTTCTTCCAGGAGGTTCCTTTCATTCTTTGTCTGCTTCTCGTTTTCTTCCTTCTGCCATCATCTGCCATCGCTGTGCATATACATACACCTGCTGGTCAATTTCAAGGCGTGGCCCTTCCACGATGCCTTGAGCTGACCAGTCTCCTGTTGGTACAGGCATTTCATTTGCCTTGTTGTTGCTGTCATGTGCTGTCGCACCCACGATGATTCATAGTGATCTGAACCTTCCTGGCCCTGTCTCTTGCCATCCTCACATTTCCATCCGTCTTTCTGAGGGTCTTCCTCTTTCTCTGTTCCTCCTTTCTTCCTAGCATGAATCTAAGGATTGACGCCTCCAGACAACATGGTCAAAGTACATGAGATGAAGGCTTACCATCCTTGCCTCTTCATTTGCATGCTGTTGTTGTGTGCCATCGAGTCAGAATTGACTCGTAAGCTGACCCTCTGGTGGGTTTTCAAAGAAAAGAAATAAATTGTTTGGGAGGAGACTGCCCATGCTTCTCCTGTGGCGCAGCAGACAGATTCGAACTGCATGCCTTTGAGACTGCAACACAACTTCTTACCCCCTGGCCACAAGAGTATCCCCCCACCCCCAAACAAGCATATAGACCAATCTTTGGAAAGTATATGAAACAAATCAATCATAGCCCAGGCTGCGGCCCTAAGGCAAGCAAAAAATATCAAAACTCTAGTTTTTTACAGCTTATCTAGGAAAAGCTAATCAACCTAAACAACTGAAATAAACCGTCGGGTAGAAAGTAGGGCGACGGCAATTCTTTAGAGTCTGTCGTTGTGTTGTGTACTGTTGTGTCAGAGCCAACCCATAACCAATCCTCTAGCCTCAGAGGGGTTCCAGAGGCAACAAATCACATAGGAGGAGACTGCCCATCTTTGTTCCACAGAGCAGCTGGTGGATTCGAACCATATTCCTTTGGGTTGACAGTGCAGCGCCTTACCACTAGTCCACCAGAGCTCCCTTTGGAGTTTGGGGAGGGTGGGGTGGAAATCCATTATTCCCTCCATCAAAGGAGCGCTGAAGCTTTAAGCATATGACCACTACTTGAAAGGTTGGTGGTCTGAATGCACCATTTACTCTGTGGAAGGAAGTTGTGGCAGTCTCTTTCCACAATTATTACAGCTTTGCAAACCCTATGGGATAGTCCTCTGTCCAATAGGGTCTCTGAATCAGAACTGACTCAATAGATGTGGGTGGGTTTGTTTTTCCAAACAACCAAAGAAAAATGGAACTCATCTAACACACAGGCTGTATCAAAGCACTGAGCTTCATGGTTCCTTAACTGGGCTGAAGCAGCATGGAGTGATACAGCAAACTCACATGGCATTTTCCAAACACAGAGATCTTCTACAGCAATCAGGGAACTACATCAGTACATGAAATGATGAAGGCTGGGATCCGGAGTCTATCTCAATGCCTCGGATGTAATGAGGGAGAGGGGTGCTTCTGTGAAGACTAAAGAATGATTTATTAAAGCCAGGTTTTAAAAACAAAGCAAACTTCATACCACCACCACATCTGTAGCTCACAGGTCTACAGGCTGGCAACCTGCCTTGGCATTGCCTCGGGGGAACTTCTCAGCGGGGCTTATTTCCCTTTGTAAATGAAATTTCTGTCAGTTTGAGAATTTTTCGCCAATTTTCATTTTTTATTCAAAAGCTCCTTTATACTACCAGCTCAAGGTAGCTCAGTATTGGAATACTCTGACAAGCTGGATTTCTGATGCTGTTGTGATTAAAAAGCAAGTACCATGCAAATATTAATGAGTAAAAGGATATGAACGTGACTTCAATTTTATTCTAATGTACCTAAGCATATATGCCATTAATGAGCAACTGTGGTTATTTAAAAATGAAATAATATT